TTTGTTCCACCTCTCGTGAAAAAGGCAAATTCCCGCCGATTCAGTTGGAAGCGGGTCAAATTTGAACTGCAGCTGCCTCATAGTTTGCTCTTTATTTTTTACAAAAATCATTTCTAGGTACATAAGTACCTATTTAATCAGAGAAACACCAAAAAAATTCCAATATTCAACCACTAGCTAGGAACGGTCATTCCCGCCGTTTTGACCGCATTTTGAAACGGGCATAAAAAATTCAAAAAAAATCAAAAAATTGGGAAACCTTCGCATTGTGTCATCATATGTGACCAAGCTTTCAGGAAAAATAACAAACTTATAATATGACAATTATTTAAAAAAAGTGTTCTCAGAAATGAGCTATCATGGGTGAAGATTCATGGATTTCAAGCCAAATGATCAATCTTATGGCCACATTCATGGCATAGTTTGTTGAAATCATCTCATATTGTGCACAAGCGTGCATATTGGAATGGCAAACAATGTTGCCTAAGGAAGTTTTCATTTTTTTTGGACGAAAAAACCATTTTCCATTTTTCGAGTGCCTGAAAGGAGGTTTTTTTGTGAAGGACCTCCCAAATAATTGTTGCAAAATTGGACCAAATCATTTTTATAAAATACTAGGCCATATTTAATGCACAATTGACAAAATTGTTGGGCGTCAAAAGTTTTGATCCACCTCTGGTGAAAAAGACAAATTCCCGCCGATTCAGTAGGAAGCGGGTCAAATTTGAACTATAGCTGTCTCATAGTTTACTATTTATGTTTTCCAAAAATCATTTATAGTTACATAAGTACCTATTTAATCATAAATACATGGTTTGATGGCGATACGTCGAGGTTTGGGCGGTGGCCAAGGCCCCCAACTCTAGAGCGCGTAAACTCGCATGCCCGACGCGTGGTCACCGCGTGACCGTGGCGTTGCCATGCGTTCTGGGAAGCCTAGGCATGTCTAGTGGGTTGGGCACTCCCCAGGTAGGTTCTAGGAAGAAAATTACAACATAAGATTCTCACGAGGAGACCGATCGATGCTCAAACATGAATTAGCAATCAAGTGTTTGATTAGCAGTACGGGAAATGCACATGGCCAATGGGCATGCGTTTTTGCTGAGGATGATCATCTACTAAGAAGAATGTCTTTGCAAATTTTCAGATCAAAAGGAGGATCCTAGGTGGTACTTGCTTTGCAAAGTACCACACTGGACAGAAATATGAATGTTGAAGCTGGGCTCAAAATAATGAATGGATTGAGCTAAAATTTGGTGGAGGATGGTTATTTGGGCATTGGAAAGCACCGTAGAAAATTGATACCATTTGGACATGCCAAAGTGGTACTTCCTTCACAATGCTCTTCTATGGACAGAAACTTGGGAAAACTAGTGAGAGAAATTGGATGAATGAAATGAGCTCAAATTTGGTGTAGGTAAGTTACATAGGTATGGTTATGCCTTGGTAGATTTTCAGATCATTTGGGTAAGCCTAGCTAGTACTTACTTCACAAAGCTTCTCTCAAGGTAGAAACTTTGAAAATTTCCTGAGAAAGATTGACTAGGAAAATGGAGCTGAATATTATCATGTGGCAATGATTTGGGTATGGAAGAGTGCCCAAAGAGTTTGAGATTAATAGGAGGGGTCTAGATAACACTTGCTTTGCAACGTGCCAATTTGGCCATAAAATATAAATTGAACCTGGGCTCACATAGATAATTTTCCTGAGCTGCAATTTGGAGGAGGGTGATAATTTGGGCATATGAAGAAACTGTATAAATTTCATGTCATTTGGATATATAAAAAAGGTACTTCCTTCACAATGCTTCTAGGTGGACAAAAACTTTGGAAATTTGCCGAGGAAGATTTGCTAGGCAAGTGGAGCTGAATTTTGTCATGTGGTAATGATTTGGATAGGAAAGAGTGCCCAAAAATTCTGAGGGCAATTAAGAATATATAAATAGCACTTCCTTCATAAAGTGCTATCGTGAACAGAATAGGAAAATGAATATTGTTGAATTAGTTTTGAACTAGGCAAGGAAGGATTTTTACATATGTGATGAAGATATGACCCAAAGAATTTATGAGATTTTTTTGGGAATTTTTGGAATGACAGAAATATAAGTTGCTTCACAACCTAGGGCAAAAACTGCCACATGGACATGACACATAGGCAAAACTGATGAGGTGGCGCCTAGTCATACCAACCCACCACAATTTAGAAGGTTATGACCATCTATATTGGTCATGATCAGCTAGAAATAAGGCAACAGACCAATGCTATCTGCTTTATGACCATTTCGTGTAAGGAAATTACGACCTTTCTGACCAAAATGGTCGTTATAGTTTAGGTTTTGGAGCCCCCCGAACAACTTTTGACCAATTGGTCTGAAATGGTCATAGATCTATGACCAATTCTTCCAGGGTCACTAACAGAAGGTCACAAGTTGACATATTTCTTGTAGTGATTGCTTTTAATATTGTACAAGTTAAGTGGCCGGATAGTGCTTTTAATATTGTACAAGTTAAGTGGCCAGATAGAAGTATTTGCTAGTCAGGGATCCTTTGAGGTAAAAATCTTCCTATGGTTAGCTGCTACTCCCTCCGTCCATGAATAAGTGTATATCTAGTTTTTGTCCTAAGTCAAAGTTTTAAAGTTTTAAAACTTTGACCAACTTTATAGGGGAAAGCAGTAGCATTTATGACACTAAATTAGTATTAATAGATCCGTTTTGAAATGTACTTTCATAATATACCAACTTGAGGTCATATATGTTACTACTCTTTTCTATATAGTTAGTCAAAATTTGAAAAGTTTGACTTAGGATAAAAGCTAGATGTACACTTATTCGTGGACGGAGGGAGTATTATAGTATTTTGACTAAACATCTTTTGATTAGAAGAGACCCGAAAGACAACAATAGTAAGTGCATCTTTTGTGATGTGTTGGAGAATCTAACTATGAGCTAGGTAGATACATCAGGGGAAGGGTTAGGTTCTCTATTCACTTAAATAGATGTGCCCATTTGTGGATCATAACCTTCCCTAGTAATGCAGGTGGCATTTTGTGGATGTTCCTGAACTGGTCCGGTCTATGTAGGACTATGAATACAACTTGTTTTGATCATGTTTAGCCGACTAATGTTGAGTATTCAATTTCAAGGTAGATTGATTGCAGAAAACAGACGACAATAGCTTTACAACCTGGCACTAACGCTACCAAGGGTGGAATTTGAATTCATCTCCATGTGTATGGGGTGGGTGCCGATGACTAAGTGACTCGGTGTTGGTTGAGGTTGATTTAGATGAATTTTTCGAGGTGGAGATGTCGAAGTGTCATATATACTCTTTTACAAGTCCTTAGTTATAGTTTTGCAACCATGTCTGTGTGATGACCATGTTCTATTTCCCGTGGTTTTGCTGAGTATAACGCCCCAGTCATAGCCACCAATCCTGGCTGTTACGTCTAGCAGGATCTAGACTGACCCCACATACTAATAATAGTCTTTTTGCGCACTTTGTCCTCACTTGTGCGCATCCGAGATCAACTTTCGGTCGGTCACCCATCCTCAAATCGCTCTAAGTCAAGCACACTTAACTTTGGAGATCTTTGCGAATGAGCTCCCCAAAAATAAGGAATTCCTTGTTGATATGAATAGTCTATGAGGAATGCCACGTCCACGTAAATTTTTACATTTGTTTACGTGCTTGTATGACTTGGCAATATTTGATTGGAACACGGGGGAGGGGGCCCACCCCGAGAATGAGAGGAAGATTGCGTAAGGCAACACGTAACAATTCATAGGTGTAGGATTATCGATAGTCTATCATTTCTATTAAGCCAGACTCTTACATTGATGGTGTGCGTGGTTAAAAGTTGGAACGGTGTTGCGAGATGGTGAATGTAACCCTATTGACTTTGGTTTCATCTGAAGTGAAATCAGGAGCACTGAGTTCCTTAGTTAAAAATAAAGGCTTTTGAATTTCTCATATCAATTGTCTCATCTAGAGCTTTACAAGCTTGTCTAAACTCTTGTACCTGAAATTCATGGAATTTAAAAATTCGTTTTTATTTCTCATCCCAAATTGTAAAACAAAAATCATTAAGATTTCTTAATTCTTTCAAAATTTGAATTTTCCTCTACGACAAAATGTCTGGGTACCATTCATGAAATTAAATCTCCTGGGAAATTGCCGCTATAGCTCTGTTATAGCTGCTGGGGAGCCTCCACGTGACGCTATGGCCGCTGCCAAATGCTTCAGAAATCCCACTAAAACGGCTCAAAATTCAACAATAACCGACAAATATCTCCCCTCCATGGATGTCAAAGTGCCCGCGAGAACCGAGATTGCCCACTATAGCGTTGCTATAACTGCGGAGAGAAGCCGCCTCGAAATCATTTCTCCCGCGATTAAAAACTTTTGTACCATGCCACGGCTGATTGTTCGCTTACATTGCAGACAAGATTTTTGTTTCTTAATTTCGTGAGTTGTATGCGCATGCAAATCATGAGTTTGCGAACCTACGGGCTACGGCTGAACCTAGAAGACAAGATTATGTTTTTTACCCCCCGGCACAAGTTTGTGTTAGAAATCATGAAATGTCGCTAACCGAATTCATGATGAACCCAAACAAGATGCCTATGCATGCCGCTCGCATGGCTTTCCAGCTCTCATCTTCGTCTCCGATCGTGGTATGCAGTTGCGCACGAATCAATGCGCGCTTGCGACATGGTGCTCCCATATCGAAATGTCACGCCGTGCAAGCAAGATGCAATGATTGCCGCCGTTGCCGCCTCCGTGTATAAACACCGACCAACAGAGCAAGCAGCCGCACAGAGCTAAGCTAGATCGAGCCAGAGAAAGAGATGGACATATCGGAGCAAGGGCGCATCGTCGGACCGATCACGGCGACGGCGGCGGCGAGTTGGAAGGAGCTCCACGGCGAGCGGTCGTGGGACGGGCTGTTGCGGCCGCTGGACCTGGACCTGAGGCGCACGTTGATCTGGTACGGTGAGATGGCGCAGGCAACGTATGACGCGTTCAACCACGAGAGGCACTCGCCGCACGCCGGACTCTCGAGGTTCGGCAGGAAGCGCTTCTTCGAGCGCGTGATGCTGCCGGGCCACGCCGCCGCGTACCGGGTCACCAGGTTCCTGTACGCCACGTCCTCCGCCCCCGCCGCTCCGGCCGCCGCGTTCGTGAGGAGCCGCCATCCGCGGCACCGGTGCAAGGAGTCCAACTGGATCGGGTACGTCGCGGTGACCACGGATGCGGGGAAGGCGGTGCTCGGGCGCCGGGACGTGGTCGTCGCGTGGCGCGGCACGATCCAGGCGCTGGAGTGGGTCGACGACCTCGAGTTCTCCATGGTGCATCCCAAGGGCATCCTTGGCGACGCCGATGCCATGGTGCACCGTGGCTGGTTCTCCATCTACACCTCCAACGACCCGGCCTCCACCCACAACAAGGAAAGCGCGAGAAGCCAGGTAATCTTGTGACTATATAAAGTCTAAACGGCATCATTGTCACGTTTACAGTATACTGTTCAGTGTTGAGCTCACCTGCAGCTTCATGCTGGATGCCAGGTGCTGGCCGAGGTGCGGAAGCTGGTAGACATGTACAAGGACGAGGAGGTGAGCATCACGGTGACCGGGCACAGCCTCGGAGCGGCGCTGGCTACCCTGAACGCCTTCGACATCGTCGAAAACGGCTACAACTGCACGGTCTCGGCGACGTTCCCCGTCACGGCGTTTGCGTTCGCCAGCCCGCGCGTGGGCGGCGCCGGATTCAAGAAGCGGTTCGACGCCGCGGCTGTGGCCGTCGGCCTCCGCGTCCTGCGCGTCCGCAACGCCCGGGACATCGTACCCAGGTACCCGGCGCTGCTGTACCACGACGTGGGCTCCGAACTGGCCATCGACACCGGCGCGTCGCCGTACCTGAGGGCGACCGGGGACAGGCGCGTGTGGCACAACCTGGAGTGCTACCTGCACGGTGTGGCGGGCGCGTCGACGGCGGCCGGAGGAGCGTTCGAGCTCGTGGTGGAACGGGACGTGGCCCTTGTGAACAAGTTGTACGATGCGCTGAGAGAGGAGCACGGGGTGCCTGCGGGGTGGTGGGTGCCGTGGAACAAGGGCATGGTGAAGGGGGACGACGGACGCTGGAGGCTGGTGGACTGCGAAGACGAGGATGGGGAGGACGCCGTCGTGCCGCCGGTGAACAAGTGAAGTGGACGCCTCCATATCAGGGTCGCGTCATGCATGCATGCACCAAAGTCAGTTGATTGTTAGTCTCTCCCAATATAAGTCGTTTTAGCAAGCTATAAAACGACCTATATATTGAAACAGAGGAAGTTTTTTTTTGTTTCGTATTCGGGATGTCTATTATATGGAGTATTATTTGGAAGCTTCGTAGTAAATTGTACTCCCTCCGTCCCATAATATAAGAACACTTTTTACACTAGTGTAATGTAAAAAACGTTCTTATATTATGGGACAGAGGGAGTAATCATGTTTTAATTGTGGGATTATAGCCCAGGACTTAATGTAATGTTATAATCTCTCAGTGTTTCAAAAGAAAAAGTCTGAGTACTTAATGTGGTAATGTGTTTTCTTTCAAGCAGTTACTTAAGAAATACTGCCTTTCTAACTTAATATACGATGTTTTTTGACACTAACATCTTATATTAAGTTGTGGAGGGACTACTATTATAATAAGTACATTATAATTTTCCAATACACTAGCAGTATATGTCAATTCTTTTTTTTTCGAAACCGAAGCAAAAGATTTGCCTCGTATATTAATTAAGGGAGAATAGAGTTTGAAATACACCTCGTAACTGAAAAAAACAAAAGAGTGTTACTCTCCCGGTATGATGTTGCCCAATTTTTTCGCCCCGGCGGTTACCCAAAGGATGGCCTCGGCCTTGATGTTGTTGAGCAAAACAGTTGGAGGCATACTCTTTTTATGAGTATGACATAATAGGACAAATGTGCATTGGGCACACCGAGCCCGTGTTCAACACAACATGTTCAAAGTTGAACTCATTTTGATATGAACCACACTTTTAAAATTTTGCAAAGAAAAATACTTTAGGGGTTTATCCTGTTCTAGAGTAAAACATAATGTTTCAATGCATGTCAATACAATTCCATTTGATTTGACATGCCACTTTTATAAACTTGTAAAAACAAATATTGCCTCCAATTCAAATTAATCGACACAACTTTAGTATCTTTAGTAAAAAAATAGTTTTGTCACCGTCTTTTTTGGTTGTTTAGTGTATCATTTTGTCTCGGTATGTAGCAATAAAGGATGCACACGCAGATCTTCAACACAATGGACAGTGTAGAAAAACATTTTTCTCTTGGAAGCGACACCCTTTGAAACATATTCTTCGCGAGGCTGAGGAAAAACTTATTTGTATTTAATATCTTATACGGATTAAGGAACTTTGCCCCACCCGATACCATTCACATGAGAATTGTGAACAACACATGTTTGTGCTTCCTTCTTTCTCACGGAATGCTTCTATTGTACATGCATTTCGCTATTCCTGATTCCAGTCGTGATTCTTCGATGTTGTAAATTTGAATTGTAGAATGCGCTATGAGCTGAGACCACACGGGCAAGCACTTGTCAATTGTACTATGAACGATCCAGAACTCACGACATGCGTCGAACTTGTCATTTATGCAGTGACTGTCACTACGTGGGCTGCGGCAATTACAAATAAGAAAGAAATCACGGGACTCACTCCATGGGACCCATGCACGAAAGAAATTACTGCAATGAACATTGTGCAATGAACTACTTTGGCTAGACCGAACAACTAGATCCCGCCACCGACAAGCTATGTAAAGATTAATGTCGACGCTGCGGTTTAAAGTGGGGAGTTCGGCTCAGTGGGGACAATATGTCGAGACCAAGCCTGGATGTTCATTGGAGCTTCAACTTTGTTCTTCCCTCGCATAGTTGATCCATCTACCCTCGAGGCACTTGCAACTCGGGAGGCGTTAGCTCTTGCAGATGACACCTAGTCTCAACGGATCTTCGTGGCCTCGGACTGCAAGACAGTAGTTGATGCTATCAGAAGTGAAAGTGCGCCTCCTTACAGCACGGTGATTAATGAGATTAAAGATCATATGTCTATTTTTCATTCTTGTATCATTAGGCACGAGTTTCGAACCTCGAATGTTTAGGCTCACAATCTCGCTAAGTATGGTCTTACTTTGGAGTTGGCCGCCATGTGTTGTTAGGCCAACCCGGGAACCTTCTTTTCGTCCCTATACATGTGGTGACAACATAATAAAGTTTAGTGGTGTCGTCTAAAAAAAATGAACCATCGAGAACTCACGGTGTGTGTAGTACTTGCCAATTTATGCGGTGATTGTCACTACGTGGGCTGCAGCAAAGTGAACATATTCTTGTAATAGTTTGTACTTGCAAAAAAAGGGAGTTGGATTTTTGTTCATCGGATAATTTGTTCTAATGGTTTGCCATTCTTGGTGTGCCTCCACGTGATTTTTACAAAGCTAATGTTTCTATTATAATCAATATTGTTCCCTTTACGACAAAATTTTGGTTCCTAAGATCATAAAAAATTCTTCCGTCGAACAATATGTTTGCGCCGCACCACAAAGCATACACTTCATTCAGTCAAAAGGAATGTCCCAGTAGCACAAAACCCATGTTCATGTCACATAAAAATGCATCCCAGGAAAACTATAATTTTTGAATGAGTCTTCCCTGACGCATACGCTTCCATCAGTCGAGATGAATGCTTCCACGCATTGGGCCAAGCCATGCTACTGCAGTAAAAAAACGTTGCATCTAAAAACATGATAATTGCACTGTTTTTCTTGAAACAGTCACAATTAACCAGAATATATATTAAAATATATTCTCTGAAGCGGTTTACTAATAAGAAAGAAATCACGGGATTCAATCCATGGGACCCATGCACCCATTATTCACAGAAGCAGTGGGTATCAGAAAATAAATCATAGCTGAGTATTAAATTACCAACTACTTGGTAAGCGTGGTAAAAGCAATCTTGAAAAAAAAGTATTAAATTACCAACAGACCCATGCTAGAATCGGACGATCAGCATGATTTTAATGATTCTAATGCTACGTTAATCGACTGGTATGATAGGAAGCAATATATCAGTAGCCTAATCCCTAATGCTCCCTATATACGGAATATATTTGAATCTTCGGAAATACTACAATACACACGCGATGATTACCTATCACCTCCTCTCCCTTCCACGATCATCAGGCAATACCGGCGGCCACGGCAACTCGTACGGGTACGCTGGCCCTTCATAGTTGTTTCTATCGTGCTTGCATTCTACCCTCATTGTGTCAAGCTCGATGGAGAACATCCACTTCTTCTCCTTTGGTCTCACTAGACGTATTTGGAATTTGCCGTGAGAATGGTGGCGCCTTGCTGAAAAAATCCTTCCTCACGACCTGGTAACTCGACAGTCGCCTCCTGCAGCCCCAGGGTCTTCTCCAGCACCCACTCGTTTTCTCCAGTTCCTTGATGGCGCCGGCGTGCAAAGACCTTGAGCTCGTTGCTCATCAGGCAGACGATGCACAAGACGCTGTCCTCACCGGCGACGACCCAAGTGGTACGGCCATCTTCATTATACAATCCCCATATGTTGTCTGGGAACTTGACAAGGGAGTAGTGCGGCATCGCTATGACGCTATCTCCTGTCCCTCCTCCCACTCCGCTTCAGCGTCGCTGGAGCACATCGCCACCGTCCGCCCTTTTCCATAACAGCTGCACCTAGTCACCTCGTCTCATCTCAAGATCTTTCATTGCGAGTTGCGAGATCAATTAACGCCTCCCCGCCAAAGGAACTGAGCTAAAGCGATATAAATTGGGAGATTGGAGGTACGGAAGAGCGCCGCCGTGTTGTTCTCTTGCTCGGGCGAGATTCAATCGTCCTCTTGGGGTTCCACACATGCTGAAGTCCCTTAGTATACACAGCACTTCCGCACTCTAGATCGAGACTCCTAATACTTCAAAGCCAAGGAACGGAAGCATTGTGCCCTCCTTCTTTGTTTCTGGGAATATCGAGGGACCGAGGCAGCAAGACGATTTGTGTTAGACGCCGGCGACGGGTACTTCGTACCGGAGCGGAGTAGAAAAGCCGCAGAGCTACAGGCATCGTACAACAGCAGCAGGCCAATCGAGGAAGGAGACCCACGCAACAAGATGAGCAAGGACGTAAAAAAAAACAAGCTATCTTTTTTGTTTTGTGGAAAAACTTCCAATCTATTCATCTTCAATCATGGCAGTACAACAAACACCAGAAATAATAAAAATTACACCCAAATTCATAGAACAACTAGCGACGACTACAAACACTGAAGCGAGCCGAAGGCGCGCCGCCGTCATCTCCCCTCCCTCGCCGGAGTCGGACAAAACTTGTTGTAGTAGACAGTCGGGAAGTCGTCGTACTAAGGCCCCATAGAACCAGCGCAACGCACAACAACCGCCGCCAATGAAGAGTAGCGTAGATCAAAAGGATCCAACCTGAAAACACATGAACGTAGACGAACTACGACCAGATCCGAGCAAATCCACCAAAGACAGATCCGCCGGAGACACATCTTCACACGCCCACCGACGATGCTAGACACACCATCGGGACAGGGGCTAGGCGGGGAGAACCTTATTCCATCTCCAGGGAGCCGCCGCCGTCTCGTCTTCCTGAGCAGGGCACAAACCCTAACAAAACGTGAAAAAATAACTGAAAACAGTGCCCTCCCGCCGACAAGGGCCGATATCCACTGCGCCGCCATGGCCCTAAGGCCACCAGAGACGAGGCGGACCGACGGCGGCACTAGCGGGAGGCAGGGGAACCCTAGACTTTTCTTGGGGAAGAGGCTCTGTTCAAAAAAAATCTATCTTATTGAAGGTTCACTAGTAGAAAACAGGGCTTTGGTTCGAGCCTGCCAAGCCCATTAGTCCCGGCTCAGTCAAGAACCGGGACCCATGGGGGGCATACGTCCCGGTTCGTGCGCGCAGGGGCCCGGTCGGGCCTCGGGAGGCATTTGTCCCGGTTTATGTGGACCCATTTATCTCGGTTCTAGGAACGAATCGGGACTAATGGCCCGGTTCGTGCCTAGAACCGGGACAGAAGGGGGGCCTTTAGTCCCGGTTCCAGTCATGAACCGGGACAAATGAGTTGCCTATATATACCCCCTCG